TGTGCTTGTATTCCAGATCTTCTGTTGTGTTGTATCCCAGTTTTAACCGTAACGCTCATTTCCTGTGCCGCAGGGGACGGGCGACAGGACACGCTGAACAACATCACCGAGCGTGATGGGGCGTCGCTTCCCTCTCAAAGTCCTGCTGGGAGCCCATTGGAGGGTGTTGTCGCGGCATCTGTCCAGGTTGCTAACGGGCGGCTTGCTGAGTTGGAGCGAACCACACAGCAGCAGTCACTGCTGATTTCGTCGCTTTTGTTGAAACTTAACAATGGGTCTTGCTCCCTGGAGAGGGGTGCGGTGGGTCCTGCCTCGGGGTCTCCAAGCACCAATGGAACGCCGCGATCAGCACCAACGTCGCAGCGAGCTGATGTCGCTACACCCGAACGCGAAATGCTGCAGCGCGCGACGTCCAACCGTGCTTCCCCTGCTGTGCCGCGGAAGCGGAAGTATCCAACGATGAAGAGCAACGGTAACGTGTGCGACGTACTCCTGCACACGTCACTCAGTGGTATCCCGTTGAGGGACCAGATCCTCATGCGCCAGTTGCCTGCCTATGGCAAGGCATGGAACGTAAGTGCCATATTGAAAGTGTGGAATGGGGATTGGTGGGTTGTGTTTGTGTGGGTTATGGCTAAGGGGCACTGGTGTTTGTTCATCCCCTCTTCACCCTTTCCTCACGCCCCTCCTTTTCTGGCCTTGTTCTGTTTTAGTCGACCTGTTCTTCTCGCATGCTGATTTGCCATGTTTCCAAGTTTCCAGATCTGCCTATTCTTTTCCGCATTCCCACGTACCAGAAAAAGATGGAGCTTGCTATGGTTGTGGCGTTTTCTCGTCAACCGGACGACGTTACGAGCGTGTACCCGCCAGAAAGCGTGGTCATGCGGTGCCTCATCGGTGTTTGGGGCGAGAGCAAGGCTGCCGCGCTGGTAGCAGTCATGACGTACTGCGTGGCGCGGGCAGGCGCTTCAACGCGCAAGCAGAGTGATTGGCGTGCGCGGATCTCGATGAATGGGCGCCAGAATTTTGCTGACGCTTTTGGGCTCCCTTGCGAGGCGAATCCCCGCCTGAAATTCGACTACAGCGAGCTAGTTTGTGACGAGGAGCGCACACCAACCCAAGTGTAAAACTTGGAGAGCGAGGGTGGTATACCACTGGTCAAGCCTCTTGGTAAGTGCAGTTCGTAAGCATTGGTAACCACAGCTGTTACGCATGGTGCTGTATACGTCTTATGTTCTTGGCATACCCTTGGTTATGAAAGTACCCACCTTTCCATATAACTTATGGCTGCATGTCTGTTTCCATTGTTTAAATATCTATGTGCTGAGCAGAAAAGGGAGGGCTTCTTCGCTGGCACTTTGCTGAAGACACAATGCGCCCGTTTGGCACAGCGCTCTTCGACATCATCGTCCGCAACGCATTTCAGAAGGGCGCTGGCGGGTCGGCTGCGGTGGTGAAGGCGTACCACATCGCCTATCTGCTGTATCTGGTACGTATGAGTGTGATTTTTTACGTTTGCACATGTGCTAGCACTTTGTTTCTTGTGTTGTATTGTAGCTGTAAGATTGGCTGCTTTGAAGATTGCCTTGCATAGCCAGTTGGTCGCCCCATCTTCCCTCCAACCATCTTCCCTCCGACCCTCTCGTCAACCAATCACACCCTTCCCTATTTCCCCTGCCACCCTGCCCATTTCCTGCCATAGTGGTAGAAGCTTGTAGGGCGTTGATTCCATGCCCAGTGTGTTGCACTCCATGTTTCATGCATCAGCCGTTCTCCCATGTTGCCCCTCTCCACTCCAACCACCCCTTACGCTTGCAAGCGCATATCAAGGCTTGATTTTTAGCCCGTCTTGTCGCTCGGTGCGCCTCGCACACTCTGCCTAATGCTGTCCATCCCTTTCCCTCCTCACCACCCCTCAAGAACGTGGAGTGGAGGTGTCATCGCATGCCTTTTGTGCTCTATCACCTCCCACCTGCCTTCCATGTCCAGTTTGCCTAACTAACACTACCCTTCCCCATTAATCTGCACTCCCCCGTTGTAACAGGTTGAATATTCAGAGGTGCACCACAAGGCTCATGGCAAACGCATTCCTACGGATGCGGATGTGAATGCAGCTGACATTGCCAGCTACCACCGCAAGGTGAAGGCGGTCATTCGCAAGACCCTCGAAGAGTCCCCGGATGACCAGCTTCCTGCATGGTCGGAGTAGTATCAGGGGTGGGTGTTTGGACCCACCGAGACCGTGGTGATCTCGGGCAGCGGCTTCCCCGACCTCGTTCCCGATGGGGCTGACCCCGATGCCGCCGAGAAGAAGGCGGTTGCTCTTCTGTTCGAGTATGCCCAGGTGGAGCCCGAGAAAGGCAAGAAGAAGACGGGTTCCAACACCAGTGATGCCACCATGGAGCGAGATCTCCTGGATGATGTGGGTGGGTGGGAGGATGCGGAGGATAGTGTGTAGAGGTGGATGATGTGGGCGGGCGAATTGGTGCCATGCTGAGATCTGTTGTATTATATAGCTTATGTATTATATATATTTGGGAAATGGACAAATGGTTACTATTGGGATACAAACATCTGGGTCACTTTCAGCAAGAAATTTGAGCCTCAAATTTGTACAGTTTCCATACCATTGGTCAGGCAAATGTATGCTTTTTGAACAGAAAATGCATGACTAATGGGGGGCGGTTTCATGATGTTGGGAACACAAATGTAATATAAGTGACATGTAAATTAGGTACATTTACTAACTAAATAGCTAGTCCTTTTCGTATGGAAATGGACCCTACTAAAAAGGTACGACAACTTCTACTTTATAGTAGGCCAAATCAGCCTTACTAAATACATACCAAGGAGTAGAGAAAAGGTAAGTAAAAGGTATGTACAATCAATAGGGATTTTTGAGATGGCTGTGAATGCGGATCGCGGGAGCGAGCGCACGGCGAGAAGAGCCTCGCGACGTGCGCTCGCTGTAAATGCGGGTCGTGGGAGCGAGCGCCCGGTGAGAGGCGCCTCGGGACGTGCGCACGCTGTGAATGCGGATTGTGAGAGCGAGCGCACGGCGAGAGGCGCCTCGGGACGTGCGCTCGCTGTGAGTGCGGATCATGGGAGCGAGCGCACGGCGAGAGGCGCCTCTGGACGTGCGCTCACTGTGAATGCTATTGTGTGTGATCGCACGGCCAGATCATTAATCCTTTGTTTCTTCTATCCCCGAGCAACAGGTATGGCTTGACTGCTCAATATCATGGAACTGACGGAAGAAGCTCAGACAGGTAAATGACCTCATACCCATGCTTACATTTGTCTGACCATGCCTTGATTCGTGTTACCACCCCTCATGCTCTTACTACCCCTCATGCTCCTACTACCCCGATTGCTCTTCTCAACATGTGTTCCCACCCTTCATGCTCCTCTTAATGTGTTTTACCACCCCTCATGCTCCTCTCAATGTGTTTTACCACCCCTCATGCTCCTCTCAATGTGTTTTTCCACCCCTCATGCTCCTCTCAACGTGTGTTTCCACCCTTCATGCTCCTCTCAATGTGTTTTACCACCCCTCATGCTCCTGTCAATGTGTGTTACTACCCCTAATGCTCCTCTCAATGTGTGATATCACCTCTCATGCTCCTCTCAAGGTGTGTTACCACCCCTCATGCTCATATCAGATTGTGTTACCATCAAGCAGGGTGACATCTCAAATTGTGTTACCTCCCCTCAACTAAATGCGTGTTACCACCCCTCTCACTCACATGACAGATTCGTGTCACCACCCCACAGGCGAGGAATCAAAGCGTGACACCACCTCACAGGCGCATCTCAATGCGTGTTACTACCCCTCATGCTCTTACTACCCCTCATGCTCCTACTACCCTTCATGCTCCTCTCAATGTGTTTTTCCACCCCTCATGCTCCTCTCAATGTGTGTTACCACCCCTCTCACTCACATCCAGATTCGTGTCACCACCCCACAGCCGAATCTCAATGCGTGTTACCACCCCTCATGCTCTTACTACCCCTCATGCTCCTACTACCCCTAATGCTCCTCTCAATGTGTGTAATCACCCCTCATGCTCCTCTCAAGGTGTGTTACCACCCCTCACGCTCATATCAGATTGTGTTACCATCAAGCAGGGTGACATCTCAAATTGTGTTACCTCCCCTCAACTAAATGCGTGTCACCACCCCTCTCACTCACATGACAGATTCGTGTCACCACCCCACAGGCGAGGAATCAAAGCGTGACACCACCCCACAGGCGCATCTCAATGCGTGTTACCACCCCTCATGCTCTTACTACCCCTCATGCTCCTCTCTTTGCGTGCTACTACCCCCCTGGCTCATCTCAATGCGTGTCTCCACCCCTCAAGCTCATATTAATGCGTGTTACCACCCTCCTGCAGGCTCATCTCAATGCGTGTTACCACCCATCTCACCCACATCCAGATTCGTGTCATCACCTCACAGGGGATGCCTTAAAGCGTGTTACCTGCCCTCAAGCTCATGTGAATGGGTGTTTCCACCCCTCTTGCTCACATCCAGATTCGTGTCATCACGTCACAGGGGATGCCTTAAAGCGTGTTACCTGCCCTCAAGCTCATGTGAATGGGTGTTTCCACCCCTCTTGCTCACATCCAGATTCGTGTCATCACCTCACAGGGGATGCCTTAAAGCGTGTTACCTGCCCTCAAGCTCATGTGAATGGGTGTTTCCACCCCTCTTGCTCACATCCAGATTCGTGTCATCACCTCACAGGGGATGCCTTAAAGCGTGTTACCTGCCCTCAAGCTCATGTGAATGGGTGTTTCCACCCCTCTTGCTCACATCCAGATTCGTGCTACCACCCTTCATGCTAGTCTCAAAGCGTGATACCACCAGTCACTAACATCCTGATTTGTGGTACCTTCACTCATTGCTTTTCGTATTTGGCAGATATGCACTACTACAACTGTCGCAGCTGCACTAAGAGATTGAAGACCTACAACGCTTTTGACGCCCACGAGAAAATGCACCTCAACACCCCCGCTGACGATGCGTTCTTTGCATCGGCTGGTTCGTCGGCCACGATTCGTCGTGGGGTGCTTGTGCAGCCGCATGAACCCTCCATCCCAGTAGAAGCCCCATTGCTGCCCCCCGTTGAGGAAGTGGAGTTAGGGCATGAGAGCAATGAGGAGGAGGCGGGTAATGTGGAGGATGTAGTGTTCGTGGATGCGGAGGCATATTTCGGGCACGAAGAGACCGTTTGACCGCCTGCGTTTGATACAAAGTTTGAGACATTCAGATTCTTGTCCCAGTGTAATAGGGGAACCGGGATGAGGGGTCCTGATGTTGGTGCTTTTTTTAAGCTCGTGAAGCACCCGGATTTTGATGTCACACAGTTAGAGCAGTGGAATGGGCAGCATGCAGTGGAGAAGTATGCGTGCGAGCAGTTTGGCATCGAGAAGATACAGTTTAAGACGGTGATAGTGCGAGTGCCTGGTTGGCACTGTACGTTCAAAGTGAAGTTTTTGGATCCGATAGAGGTAAATGTTAATGATTTGCTATAGATGGTGGCTGTGTTTTGCTATTTTGTACTATCAATATGGATTTATGATTTATGGGTATGATTTACAGGCTCTACGACGCATGTAGGCTGATCCCCGCAACCAAAAGGGGCTCATTCATAAAGCTGCCGCAAGATGGTGAATGGCAAACGTGGGTACGCTGGAACAGAAACTGCCAATTTCTGGATAAAGTCACAGGTGAATCCTTTGCATTGTATTTGTAGCATTCTATGTATATGCCTTGCACACTCAAAATGTGCCATTTTTTCACTTGGCAGAAGGGACTTGGAGAGAAGGAATGTGTTTGCCAGATAATCCTATCAAGCGATGAGACACACCTCAGTGGCAACGAACGGTGCCGTGCCTGGCCATTGTACCTGTCATTCAGCAACCTACCTTTGAGCATGCGATGGAATGAGCATGGGCACGCTCTTGTCGCTCTTCTACCACTTCCAGACGCTGACATGACCTCTGAACAGAAAACCACTCTGTTCCAGAGATGTTGTGAGGCCGTACTGAAGTCTCTCGATGAAGCGTGCAAGACGTGAGTGTCTGCTTCCATTTTATTAACTGGCCTTTGTGAATTACGCACCCAAGGTCTAACCAACGGGTTTAAATGTCTCCCGCAGGTCAATTACGCTGACTGATCCCTTTGGGGCGGTGTACACCGTATGGCCGAAGCTGTTCACATACGTGGCAGATTTCCGTGAAACTTGCAGGGTGACCCGCACCAAGCAACAGAGTGCCAACAGGCCGTGCTCTATCTGTGAGGTGCACCATAAAAGCCTACATAATGTGGACCCTTCTAGTACGGCAAAGATTTGCACGGTTGAGGATCAGAGGAAATATGCCGCAGACGAAAAACTGGCAAAGGAATACTCCACACACATGATGAAGGTGGGCGTGTTTTTGTAGTTTGGTGTATTTCAATCTAAACCATGCCACCCCATGCCCTATTGTGCTCTGAAGTACCATGCTCTGCCCTCCCCTGCTTCACCCTCCCCTTGTATGCCCTCCCCTGATCTGCCCTTCCTTTCTTTGCCCCCCTCGTGTTTCTGCCTTTCTTTTATAACTGCCCTCCCCTGCTATGCCATCCCCTCCAATGTTATGCCCTCTCCTGCAATAACCTCCACTGCCCTCCGTGCTCTACCCTCCCTTATCCTGACCTCCTGTACTATGCCCTCCCTGGAAAAGCCCTTCCTTGCCTTGCCCCCGTGCTATGCCATCATGTGCTATGCCATCGTGTGATATGCCCTCATGTGCTATGCCATCATGTGCTATGTCATCATGTGCTATGCCATCATATCCTCCTTGCCTCGTGAGCTATGCCATCATGTGCTACGCCATCATGTGCTATGCCATCATGTGCTATTCCATCATTTGCTATGCCATCATGTGCTATGCCATCATGTGATATGCCATCGTGTGCTATGCCATCATGTGATATGCCATCATGTGCTATGCCATCATGTGCTATGCCATCATGTGCTATGCCATCATGTACTATGCCATCAGGTGCTATGCCATCATGTGCTATGCCATCAGGTGCTATGCCATCATGTGCTATGCCATCACGTGCCATGCCATCATGTCCTCCTTGCCATCGTGTGCTATGCCAACGTGAGCTATGCCATCATGTGCTACGCCATCATGTGCTATGCCATCGTGTGTTATTACATCATTTGCTATGCCATCATGTTCTATGCCATCATGTGATATGCCATCGTGTGCTATGCCATCATGTGATATGCCATCATGTGCTATGCCATCATGTGCTATGCCATCATGTGCTATGCCATCATGTGCTATGCCATCAGGTGCTATGCCATCATGTGCTATGCCATCGTGTGCTAAACCATCATGTGCTATTCCATCATTTGCTATGCCATCATGTGCTATGCCATCATGTGCTATGCCATCATGTGCTATGCCATCATGTGCTATGCCATCATGTGCTATGCCATCATGTGCTATGCCATCATTTGCTATGCCATCATGTGCTATTCCATCATGTGCTATGCCATCATGTGTTATGCCATCATGTGCTATGCCATGATGTGCTATGCCATCGTGAGCTATGCCATCATGTGCTACGCCATCATATGCTATGCCATCATGTGCTCTTCCATCATTTGCTGTGCCATCATGTGCTATCCATCATTTGCTATGCCATCATTTGCTATGCCATCATGTGATATGCCATCACGTGCTATGCCATCATGTGATATGCCATCATGTGCTGTGCCATCATGTGTTATGCCATCATGTGCTATGCCCCCATGTGCTATGCCCCCCTGTGCTATGCCCCCCTGTGCTATGCCCCCCTGTGCTATGCCTCCCTGTGCTATGCTGCCCTGTGCTATGCCCCCCTGTGCTATGCCCCCCTGTGCTCTGCCCCCCTGTGCTCTGCCCCCTTGTGCTCTGCCCCCCTGTGCTCTTCCCCCTTGTGCTATGCCCCCCTGTGCTCTGCCCCCCTGTGCTATGCCCCCCTGTGCTCTGCCCCCCTGTGCTATGCCCACCTGTGCTCTCCCCCCCTGTGCTCTGCCCCCCATGTGCTCTGCCCCCCTGTGCTATGCCCCCCTATGCTATGCCCCACTGTGCTCTGCCCCCCTGTGCTCTGCCCCCCTGTGCTATGTGTTAACTGATAGTTGGGACCTAGAAGCTCTTAACACACCTTGAATCAACACTAGGTAGTCCCCACGGGGTCACCTCCAAGGGTCCTTGGGTGCCTGGTAGAACCAGCCCCTATCCAAGGGTCCGTGTTTGAAGAGGGATTTCCTTGAGTATGAAAATTATCGTGCGTACAAGAGCTTTCCCAAACTTTGTTGCGCAGCATTCGACGACGAAATGGGCTCGTGGGCAGAATAGCTTTTCATGTCAATACGTTGATAGAGCAACTGAACTTGTCAAAGTGATTCAGAAAATATTTCCACTAGAAAGGATTGAACACAATCAAGCACAAGCACACGTTATATATTTCGCTTAGCACACATGCATAGGGAAATAGTAAAGTAGTTGTGAAACTGAATTTCAGACATTCGCCATGCTGTACTTGAAAACGGTTGCTCAACTTCTTGGGCTATTGTCTTCTTCCTCCTCTTTTAAAAACCTGCATTCAAATTTCACTTAGGATAATTGCCCTTGCTGACTCCTCACATGAACACTCATAGCTCACATGTGCCTCCAATGTGAGCCATGCGAGCTTACAGTTGTAAAACGGATTTAACTGTTGAATGACGTGAGTAACCAAATTGTACCTGTGGCGAAATTATTCCGCAATGCGGCAAAACATTCGCGAGAAATTACCTGTCCCACGAGTCAACGCGAAATACAGTATTCAACTGTAATTCCGAGAACCCCCCACGTGCCACACGCCACGACAGAAAAGGACGTGACTCAAGATTCAGTTATTCAACTAAAAGCTCCAGTCAAACCTCGAGCACCCCTCGCTATCCCTTGGCACTGCGCAGATAACTACAGCAACGGGAGCTAGGCTACGGGCTAGGCACGTGTGCTCGTGTGATCTCTGCGTTCGTTAGTCCTTAGTCGTTTTCCTTGTGCACACACTACTTGCTAGTTCACGGGGAAAATTGGCAAGAGTTTCACTAGGAAAAGTTCAGAACAATGGTAGCAACAACATTGGCAACATTTGACTACATCAGAGCTAGCTAGGCTGCTGGTCGACCTCCAGCGCAGCACAGTCGACCGCACTCCAGCGCAGCAGCGCTCGCACCGCTCCAGCGTAGCAGGGAAGCGGTTCGCCAACGTTGCAAGTCCACGGTGTGCCAGCGCTGCACCAAGTCGGCTGCCCAGCGCGTCGACCTCGGGATACGACCCCCGAGGTCGGCCTCGCAGTCTCCACCCTGGCGACACTCGCGCTCGTCGCCCGGGTATCCCGATCGACCGGGCAACCACGCCTGGTCGGCTCACGCAGTCTGTAGCCGATCACGCATTACTCCGGCGTCCCCAGTCTGGCGTCCAGTCGCCCAGGACGCCTTCCGAACCCCCTGGTTGGCGTCCAGACGCCCGAGACGCCGACCACACCTCCAGAGCGACGTCCCTCCTCCCAGGACGCCGACTAGACACCCAGGTCGGTGTCGGGACCCGACGCCCAGATCGGCGTCCGGACCCCGGACGCCGTGCAGACGCACAGGACGCCAACCAGGCCTCCAGGGCGGCGTCCTCCTGCTCGGCGTCTTCCTGCTTGGCGCCCTGAGTCAAGGTCGACGTCGGCCCCTCCTTCGTCGACCACCAGGTCCAGTCGACCACTAACAGGTCGACTAGCAGTCCGTTAGCCGACCGCCGAAGTCGGCTTCGCCAAGTTGACGTCCTCCGCAGGTCGACTCCTAAGACGACCTCCCTGAAGTCGGCGCCCGTGCAGTGGTCCCCCGTGCTGGTCGACCTCCTCGTCAACCAACTCACCCACTGCTACAGGTCGGCTGCTCCCCTCACACCCGACCACGAAGTCGGCTCCGCCCAAGCGAGGACGGGGCCAATACCCAACTCCCGTTGACACTCCCCTGCCGCGTTCACGCTTGGGCACCCAGCCCACACAGCAGTACAGCTCTGAGAATAGCCCGTCAGCGTGCACCCAACACACAGCACCCTGGTCACCGCACCAGCCATGCAAGAGGGCATGGCACCTACTGCTGCACGTCGTTGTCGCCGTCGCTCACGTCGGCCTAGCGCGCCTGACCGATTGCGACGGGGCACCGGTTGAAGGCCGGATAGTGCAGCGCCTTCGTCAGGAAATCGGCCGGCTGCTCAGCGGTTGGGATGTACTGCAGCGAGAACTTCCCGCGCTTCACCATGTGCTGCAGCCAGGCCTGTCGCCGCTCCATGTGCTTGAGGTTGCCCGTCAACCCCATCCCTCGGCGACGGTGATGGCCGACTTGTTGTCCACGCGCAGGACAGTCGGCTTCCCGGCGTCCAGTTGCCGGAATTTTGCGAGGAGGAAGCGAAGGCGGCGTCCCTCCTTGCCAGCTTCAGTGGCCGCCACGTACTCCGACTCGGTCGACGACAACGTCGCGCACTTGATGCGCTGGCTCGACCAGGAGACTGCAGCCCCTCCGTAGACGAACACGTAGCCACCCGTGCTCGTCCTGTTCTGTTTATCACCAGCGTCGTCGGCGTCCACGTAGCCGACCAGCTCCAGTGACTCAAGTCCACCGCCGAACTCCAGGGCAGTGTCACGTGTGTTGGCGAGGTAGGCGAGGCAGCGGTCGACCTCGCGCCAGTGCTGGTCGCTCCTCACCGTGAGGCCGCTCCCCAGCTTGCTGCAGGCGAAGGCGATGTCCGGCCTCATCGTCGTCGCCGCGAACTGCAGCGAGCCGACCTTCTGCCGGTACTCCTCCTCCTGCCGTTCCTGCGCCTCCTCATCATCAAAGGTGAGCTCGGCGTAGGCACCAACCGAGACCGGCGTCTTCGGGGTGCGCCCGGTCTCCTCCTCGTCGAGGAAGCGCCTACGCAGCTTGTCGGCGTAGCCCTGCTGGTGCAGCCACAGCTTCCCCGCCGACCTGTCGCGCACGATCTCCAGCCCGATATACTTCTGCACCGGCGAGATCTCGCGCAGCTCGAAGGCAGCTTCCAACAGCTCCTTCAGCTCCTTCAGCATCGTGGTGCTGCTGCTGGCGGCAAGCAGGTCGTCGACGTAGACCAGCACCCAGCAGGCCACTCCATCCTCGCCAACCTTGAAGTAGAGAGCCTCGTCGACCTGGCTCTTCTTCCACCCGGCGCCGACCAGCACTTCGTTGAGCGCCAAGTACCACAACAGCGGCGACTGCTTCAGCCCGTACAGGCTCTTCAGCAGCTTACATACCCGGCCGGTTCCATCGTTGAAGTAGTCCGGCTGAGACATGTACAGCACCCGGTCGAGCTTGCTCTGCAAGAAGGCGTTCTTCATGTCGAGCTGCATCAGGTTGAGGTTGAGGACAGCGACGATGCTGAGGAAGATCCTCAACGTGACGTAGCTGCTCACCGGCGCGAACGTCTCGTCGTAGTCGGCGCCATACACCTGTGTGAAGCCCTTCACGACCAGCCTCGCCTTCTCTCGCTCGACGCTGTCGTCGATGTGGTACTTCGTCGTCAACACCCACCAGTTCTTCATGATGTTCACCCCCGGCGGGCGTTCGACCAGCTCCCAAGTGCCCATGTTGATGAGGCTGCAAATCTCCTCCTCCATGGCGGCCTTCACCGCCGGGCCCTTCCAGCTCGCCAACGCCTCCTTCACCGTCATCGTCGAGATGTCCCAACGGTGCTCGGGGTCGGCTATCATGTCAGGGTCGAGCTCTGAAAACTCCTCATCCTCCTCGGCGTCGCCGTACAGCAGGTCGTCGCCATTGTCCACGTCATACACCGTGGTGAAGGCAGCGGGGACGAAGAAGTCAGGCGGCCTCCGAAGTCGGCCTGAACGCCGTGGTCCCTGCTGGACCTCCTCGGCGTCCCTTCCATTGTCGCTGTCGTCGCTGCCCTCGGCGTCCTGCTATTCCTCAGTCGGCGTCCCAGCCGACTGTTCTACTGCGGTGGGCTTCCTAGCCAACTTCTCCCCTGTGGTCGGCTCCCCTGCCGACGGCCCGGTCGCCGACTCCTCCGTGGTCGGCTTCACGGCAGCCGGCTCTCTTGTCGGCTGCTGCTCCTCGACCTGCTCCTCCCCTGTCTACTGCAATCCCACGTCGATTCGCCGCTCGTCACGTCGGCCACCGGCGATGCACCTGGCCGGCGCCGAAGGCGGCGTCAGCCCACGCAGGTCGGCCACGAGGGGAGGGGCAGGGGTCAGAGGGTGAAGGGTAGGGGTGTGGACGTTCTCAACGTCCTCAGTAGCAAGCTCACCGACCTCGGGGAGCAGTGGCAGCGTCGCCGACGAGGTGTTAGAGGGCGGGGTGGACGGCGACCGGCCGGACACCGGCCCATGCTCCGTTTTCCACTCGGCCAGTGACATCTCCTCGTAAAACACCACGTCCGACGTGGTGACCACACGGTCAGTGGCGACGTCAAGGAGCTCCCAGCCCTTGCTCGCCGCCGACACGCCAAGGTGCAGGCCCCACCTGGCCTTCGGCTTCAGCTTCCCACTACGCTGCTGCTCAGGGACAAGGAACTGCGCCATGCAGCCCCACACCCGCGCCAGCGACAAGTCGGGCTTCTTCCCGGTCAGCAGCTGGTACGGCGTCGTCCCCGGCGGCAGCGTCGACCTCTCAAGGCAGTTGCGGACCCAGACGGCCTGCCGTAGAGCGAGGTGCCACCAGTGGTGCTGCACACCCATGTGCAGCAGCATTGTCCGCACCGACTCCACCACCGTCCTCATCTCCCGTTCCGCCTTGCCGTTCTGCTGCGGGGTGTATGGGCAGGTCAGGTCATGGACGATCCCCTTGCCGTTCACGAAGTCGGTGAACTGCTTCCCGAGGAACTCCCCTCCCCGGTCTGAGCGCAGCATCAACACCGACTTCTTTGTCTGCCGCTCAGCCACCGCCAGCCACTGCACGAACGCTTGCAAGGCATCTGACTTCTTGGCGACCGGCTTCACCCACACGTAACGGGTCTTGCGGTCCTTCAGCAGCAAGAAGTATAGGCTGCCATCCTTGGCAGCCACGCGAAACGGCCCGCACAGGTCGATGTGCACGACGGCCAGCACGTCGTCGGCGTCGG